GGCAAGATAAGCTATCATGGAGGGCTCTTTGGCCTCATAGCTGCCACTGATCTGATATGCAACTAGCTGAGAGTCTGTTTTTAAGCAGACATGATCGGCTTCCAAGGAGATGCACAATTGTAGGCCGGCGATTGCTGCCTCATATTCGGCTTCATTGTTCGAGGCCTTAAAAGAAAATTTTAGTGCATACTCAAAGGATTTGCCTTCGGGAGAAGTTATCACTACTCCTGCCCCCGAACCGTTTTCGGTGGAAGACCCATCCGTAAACACGGTCCAGACTTTCTTGTCACTGTCCAGCACTTCTTGGTATGAGCATTCGGCCAAGAAATCCGCCAGGGCTTGAGCCTTGATGGCAGCCCTCGGACGGTAGCTGATGCTGAATTCGGTGAGCTCAAAAGCCCACTTGGCTAGTCTACCGGATTTTTCAACCTTGCCAAGAACTTTTTCCAACGGCTGATCAGTTAAGACCACTATCTGATGGCAATCAAAATAGGGCCTCAGCTTCCGAGCAGCTACCACTACCGCGAAAGCAACTTTCTCGAGTAGAGGATAGCGGGTCTCGGCATCCGTCAGTGTATGACTGACGAAATAAATCGGTTGCTGACTCTTACTCTCTTCCCTCAGCAATACTGCGCTGATGGTGGCTGGGCTAACGGCCACATATAGGTATAGAGTTTCTCCTTCAACTGGGCTAGCCAGCGTTGGGAGTTGAGCCAGATGCTCCCGAAGCTGTTGAAAGGCGTCTTTTTGCTCTTCCTCCCAAACAAGCTCTTTTGTTTTCGGGAGTTTCAGGGCTTTGAAGAAGGGTAACCCCTTATCCGAAGCTCTAGAAATGAACCTCGAAAGGGCTGCCATTCTTCCGGTGAGCCGCTGAACATCCCTCTTCGTTTTCGGCTCAGGAAGGTCGAGCGCCGCTTTGACTTTAGAGGGATTGGCATCAATCCCCCTTTTGCTGACCATGAAACCCAGGAATTTCCCTGACTTCACGCCGAAGACACACTTCTTCGGATTCAGCTTCATTTGATGCTTTCTCAAGGTGGCGAAAGTTTCAGCCAGGTCCTTTACATGGTCCTCTAGTTTTTTGCTTTTGACGATTGAATCGTCAACATAGACTTCCATGTTTCGGCCCTTTTGATCGGCGAAAACTTGATCCACCAGCCTTTGATAGGTTGCCCCCGCATTTTTCAATCCGAAGGGCATCATTTTGTAATTATACACCCCAGCGTTCGTGACGAATGCTGTCTTGGCTCGATCGTCGGGGTGCATAAAGATCTGATGATACCCCGAGAATGCGTCCATGAAACTAAGCAAGGCATGGCCACTTGTCGAATCGACTAGCTGATCGATTCTTGGCAAGGGATAGAAATCCTTTGGACAAGCCTTATTTAGGTCCGTGAAATCAACGCACATCCTCCAGGTACCATTGGGCTTCTGAACCATCACCACATTTGCCAGCCATTCCGGATATTGGCAAGGTTCAATGAACCCTGCCTCCAATAATTTTTTGACTTCGGCTGCGATGTCTCGGTTCTTATTGGCGGAGTAATTCCGCTTCTTTTGCTTAACTGGTCGACACGCTGGGTCAACGTTAAGCTTATGGGAGATGAGGTCTGAACTTACCCCGGGCATATCAGCTGCCGAGAAAGCAAACACATCTCTGTTATCCCGAAGGAGCTGAATAAGTTCACAACGGGTGCTAGGATCAAGGTCCATCCCGATTGTTACACATTTCTCAGCATCTCCTTCGGCCAACTCAACTGTTTCAGTCTGTTGGTCCATGTCCATTGCCGATGGACTGGACTCTTCAGAATCTGGTCTGCTGCCAATGTCAGCAGGTGTCCCAGTCTTTGTGTTCTTCGGCTGGCTCTCTGAGTCTTTCGGCTCAGCTGAAGAGTCAACCTTTTCCCTTTCGGGACCTTTTTCTCTGGGCACAGACCCTTGGGCCGAAGCACTTAGGCCTTTCGGCTTTTTTGCGCTTGGCTCTCTTTCTTTCTCCTCCTCATCCTTGTCGTCATCTGGGCGACTACTGGATGGCTTGAGGTAGTTGCACCTTCGGGCGTCCTTTTGGTTGCCCTGTATCCTTTCGGGGAAGCCGGCGTCTGAGACGTAAATCATCAGCTGATGATAAGTTGAGACGACCCCTTGGATCTCGTGAATTATGGGTCTCCCCAAAATCACGTTGTACACTGAAGGAGCGTCGATGACCAGAAACTCGATCATGACGTTCCGGGCTGCCTCATCGCAACCGATGGTGACAGGAAGTGTCACCTTCCCATCTGGATAAGTTGAAGCCCCATTGAACCCGGATACCGGATAGGGTACCGGCGTAAGGTGCTTGGGCTTCAGCTTAATTTGGTTGTAGGCTTTTCGGAACAGAATGTTTGCTCCGCTGCCACCGTCAACAAGGACCTTGCTGACGTCGTGGTTGGCCACCGTGGCGATGATCACCAACGGATCTTCATGAGGGAACGTAATCCCCCGGCAGTCGGCGGCTGTGAACGTCATGTTCGGCACCGGCGACTGGGGAGATTGAATGTCAGCGTTGTTCACCTGGTGAGTCAAAGCTCTAAGGTGACGCTTGTGCTCCCTCCGAGAGTATATTCCTCCCGAGATAACATTGATCGGAGGGAATTTCCCCTCCGGTTTTTTACTGTTTTTCCGGGGGAAATCAAGGTCCTGCCGAGGGTCCTTTGCTAGCCTCTCGGATTCTTTTTTCTCGCGATGATCCGCGATGTATTTTTTCAAGTATCCCTTCCGGACCATGTCTTCTATCTGGTCCTTCAGCTGGATACACTCCTCAGTGTTGTGGCCCGAAGACTCGTGGAACTCACACCACTGATTTTTATTTTTTCGCTGATACCACTCTGGGAGTGGTCTCGGCTTTCGGTAACTCTGCTCCTCCTTCGTCACACTGTAAATTTTGGCGCGTGGAAGAGAGAGCGGAGTGTAGGACTCGTATCTGCCTGTGTATGAGGCAAACCTGTCCTTCTTTAGGTCGCTGGCCGAAGATGGCTCCGAGGCCTTTGATTTTCCCTTTGCCTTATGGCCTTGGCCTTCAGACAAGGGTATTTGCCTCTGTTTCCCTCCCCCGGATTGAGGTTGGGTTTTTGCTTTATTCCATTCTTCGGCTCGGATAAACTTATCCGAAGCATTAAGAGCTTCCTCCAAGGTCTGCGGGGTATGCATGACCATGAAGTCTAGGAATTTTCCTGGCTGAAGGCCATTCTGCATTGCAAAAACAGCTAGCCCCTGGTCCAGCTGGGAGACGCTTGATGACTCGTTACTGAAACGGGTCAGGTAGTCTCGGAGGCTTTCGGTTTCCCCCTGTTGCAGACCCATGAGCTCTGCGGTAGTCTTCTCTCGGCGGTTTGCCGTGGAAAACTTGCTCCTGAACTTGGAGGACAGATCATCCCAACCTGTTATGGAGCCTTGCCTTACTCCCTTGGAGATCCACGCTTGCGCGACCCCCTTGAGAGTGGTTGGGAAATATTTGCACCAAGTCGCCTCGGATCTGGGGCAAAGATGCATATGAGTCTCATACGAGGCCACGTGGTCCTTCGGATCCGTGGTCCCGTCATATGTGATATGCGACGGTATTTTAACCGTGGGTACGCGCTCTTCTAGTATCCATTGCTCGAATGGTGAACTAGCGGGAAGCATAATGGCCTTGCCCTTGTTCCTGGCCGAAGGGACCGCGCTCCGCCCTCTTAGAGAGGTAGGAGTGGTTTTCGTCCCTGGCTGGGAAGTCTGGGCCTCGGCTGCAGGGAACGAGAGGCGACTACGCACGCTCGGTTCCTGGCCGCCGAGTCGGTCAAGGACGCTTCTGCGAGCAGTCTCGGGTTCCCGGCGAGTAGATTCTGGCCGAGAAGCTGAGCTGCTGCTCTTATGCGCTGCTGGTCTTGAGGATGAGGATCCTTTAAAAAATTGAGAGTTCTTTTTCCTCTGTTTTTCATTTTTCCAAGAATCCTCCTCCCACTCTTCCAGTTCCCGGAAGGAAGGAAGCTTCCCACCGTCATGGTCTAACTTCCTCCGCTGATGCCGGGTATGCGGAGGAGTTTGATCACGAGGCGGTGGCATATTCTGTGCCCTCATTGCCTCCATGAGTACTGCCAGCGCTCTTGCCACCTCTTCCGAACTGGGCCCCGTCAAAGGGGTCCCCGGCCGAGGGTGGTAATGAGGCCGTGCAGCCGATGGTTGGCTTTGGGACACTGAATATGTCCTATGATCAGACTGACCCCTGCTAGACCGAGAGTGGTCCGGCCTATATTGAGAGTCATGCATTATAGGAGATAGGGAATCCTCCTTGTGTGATCCTCCCCCCGAGCCGGCACCCTTGGGAGAGTTCCGGTCCAGCGAGGGCGATGGTGTAGGAGTTTTAGGCTTTTCGCCCGCTCCTTGACGGAGGCTTTTGCTCTTGCGGTTCTTAGCCATGGCTGCTAAGATAATTGCAAGATGATCTTGGTTAGGAATTTGGCTTAAAGATTTTTGAAAGTCTTCCCCACAGACGGCGCCAAATTGTTTCGGTTGAAAACAATGGGACCTTGCCGAAGGTCCACTGAAATGGAGAAGACTGGATTCGATCCAAGTTGTGTTGGGCCGAAGGTTTCCTGCACAGTGAACACACGTAAACTAGCCTCGGGGGTGTTTCCGAGGAAGGCCCCTCCGATGCTAAAGTCAGTACAATGTGTAAAAGGAAGACACTATGCAAGAGAGTTTGTAGCTTGAGGCTTTTGTGGAATAATTCTGAATGCAAGAATGAGCATATGAATTGGAATGTGAATGTATGTGTGATTATGTGATGTCCTTTTGAATGTGTTAATATGATGGCTTTTATACCTCATCATATTTGGAGAGGTTGGGCTTTAGCCCAATTGGCTTACTTTGTGGGCTGACTTTTGACTTGTGAGCAATTGGAGAGTTGAACCTTGACCTTGGGCTTTTAATTGGATCATTTAGTGCTCAGGCCCAATTTTGACTAAATTGGACCCAAACACCAGTGATCCAAAATGTGATCTGGAGAGCGATGATTAACTATTGCTTAAGTACGAGTTGCAATTATTATGCAATTTAACAAAAAAAATAATATTGTTTCAAAAACTAATAACAATTAGAAAAAAAATCATCTACTAGAGGTCTAGAGCACAATTTCTGAAATATTTTATACACACCCGGCTGTACTTAGCACCTAACTAACACAAAATTAGTTTTTGCTCTTCATTTGATAATTAAATGAAAATCAATCATCAAAATGATAGCAAAATGCTCATGGGTGTGCAGTGCACCCGGGTGTATATAACAATCTCTCCACAATTTCCGTATACTCTTTTATACTTGCGTCATTAATTTTCGAGTCAAACTTTATGAGCTTTGACATAGTTTCAATCAATCAACAAAAAAAAAAAACATAATCACATAAAATGCGTATTAAAATGAATATATTTATAATTTATAACGTGTATGCAAAATAAAAGTCGAGCAAAACAATATTTAAAAGACGAAGGAAATACACATAATCACCCACAAATAATCGAAACTAGTGTAGTATCCCATAGGTTAAGTATTGGCGCATAGCTGCTATTTACATGGCAAGTAAATAGCAGCTATAAGATAATAGAGTGGTGAATTTTTTACTTTTTTTTCTTAGTGGTACAAATATTGTACCTCTGTTACATATAATGGCTATAAATAGTACTACTAAAACAACTTATACTTTAGTAGTATAAAATACATAATAGTACATTAAAAATATCACTGTAAATATAATAGTACATTAAAAATACCACTGAAGCAATAAAAAATCACAAAAATTAAGTAAATTTACTAGTTAGCCATCCTATATGACATATGCATCCCAAATAAATAGCAGCTATGCGCTTAATTGTACTCTATTCCATACGTGGAAACAACCACAAAATTGGATTTTCCCATACTAAAAATAGAATTCTCCAACAAAAATTAATATAGACAAAAAAGGGCAAAAAATACAACCCCACCTCAAAATCTTCTTGTTTGTTCTATACCAATCCTAGTCGAATTTGCGGGCTTCAGGTGGAAACTTGGCCAAAAAGCACATTAATGGGCCCTTAAATCTCAATCTTTAACCTTAAATCTTTCATGAAAATAAACAATAGCAAATTGAAAAATACGCAATTTTCTCTTTCACTTCTCTACTTTCAGAGTCTTTGTTCCTGCGCTTAGCATCTCTTCTGCCGGCAAATTCCCATCTTTATTAAACAGTAATCTTCTATCTTTCGTTAATTTTCTGGGTTGTTGTTGTTGCTGCTGTTGTTGTAATTACTGGGTTTATTAGCAAATTTTCTGGGTTTTCTGGGGTTTAGATTATTGGGTTAATCAGTATTCAATAGTAACTAGTGTTAACTTAATTGTTTAAATTTTTTGGATGATAATCTTGATGGGTTTTAGAGTTATACTCTTCTTTAAGATTATTATGATGATGCTATTTATAGTATTGTGTTGGATTGTGTGTAGTATAATTGAATGAAATAATGAATGAACGAGTGAGTTTTTCTTTAATCAGTTTTATTGGTTCAAGTGTTAAACTGTTGAATTTATTTGATGATTGTGCTTATCTTGGTTGGTTCAATTGTACTGAATGCAGAATTCTTGTTGAATCCAGATTAAAAGAATGGATACTATTTCTGCACCTCACTTGCTTAAGATACCTGTTTCATTAAACCATCAAAGAAGAAATGAGAAACTTCTGGGTAACAGGATGATGAATTCATCTGTTAGAATGACAGCACATATTCAATACCCTAGATTAAGAAGTCAAGCTTTACCCAAGCTACAAGTGAGTACCCCTTTTTTGGGAAGCCCTAGGACTGTAGACTTTGGGTTTATGGGAAACTCTAGGACTGTAGATTTTGGGTTTATGGGAAGCTCTTGGACTGTAGGTTTAGAGTCTAAAATGAAAGATGCGGTGTTAGTTCGTAGAGAGAAACCAAGGAGGGGTGTAATTACTGCAGTGTTTGATCGTTTTACTGACAAGGCGATTAAAGTTATACTGGTTGCTCAAGAGGAAACGAGGAGATTAAGTCATAATGTTGTTGGCACTGAGCAAATCTTGTTGGGACTTGTTGGTGAAGGGTCCAGCATTGCTGCCAAGGTTCTGAAATCCGCGGGTATTACCTTGAAAATTGCGCGTTTGGAAGTTGAGAAGCTTGTTGGAAGAGGTGGTGCATTTGTTCCCATTGAAATTCCGTTTAGTCCTCGTGCTAAGCATGTCTTGGAGTTATCATTGGAAGAGGCACGGAAATTTGGTAAGACTTTGCTATTGATAGTTGTTTATTGAAGCTGTAGTTCTTAGGAGAAAAATGGTGGTTATATGATATTGCATTTTGCATACACTTATTGTATAGCAGTCTCTCAAGTATTTTGTATACATCCAAAGTTAAAGTTCTGCCTCTAAGATTGGGGAGATTCATTAGTGTGCCTCTAAGGTTGAGATTCATTTGTGTGCCTTTTTTTGTATGCTGAAGGTCAACATTATATTGGTGCGGAACACTTGCTATTGGGATTGCTTAGTGAAGGTGAGGGTATAGCTGCCCGTGTCCTTGATAATCTAAGTGTTGATGCAAAAGAAATCCGCAAACAGGTTAGTAATTGTAATTTTTTATATCTATGATGATTAATTTGCGTGTGTAAAGAGTTTTCATAAGCTTTCTGTTCATGCAAGTGACATTTTCCATGTTTTAAATAGATTATAAGCATGATGGGTGAGGAAAAGGAGCCTGTCCAGGTAGGTGGAAAATCAGGTGCTGGTATGCTCACATTGGAAGAATATGGCACAAATTTAACAAAGGTGGCGGAAGAGGTATGCACAACCCTTGTAGTCCTTTCTCTTTTATTCTTTGGTGGCTGGAAATATGTGCTGGAACACTTATTGATGACTATCAGAAACTGAATTAATATACTACTATATCTTTATGTAGTATGTGCATTGTTTTTTAACTGAATCTCTTCTATTTGTAAAGGGAAAATTAGATCCTGTAGTTGGAAGGCAAAAACAAATAGATCGTGTCATCCAAATATTGAGTCGTCGTACAAAAAATAACCCGTGCCTCGTTGGAGAACCAGGTGTTGGTAAAACAGCTATCGCAGAAGGTCTGGCTCTGAAAATTTCTCTTGGTGATGTTCCAGAAACACTCGAGGGAAAGCAGGTATGTATTGCATATTGTGAACGACCTTTCAAAGTAGTGAGCACATTTAAAGTGATGTTCCAATTTTAATATTTCCATGTATATTTATAATCTACCAAGTCTTTTACAATAGCAAGTCACTCTTAATAGTTGTATGCATTAATAGTGTTTGTGGATAGCTTATACATTGAAAAGATAGTGCAATTATATTTATTCTTGCTTTTCTATTAGCTAATAGAGAAGATGGGGGCATACCTGCTCCTGTCTACCCTTTTAGAGAGGATGTCTATGAAAAAAGAACTAGAATTCTAGGAGATATGTAGTGAATACTCCATGCTTGTTTGTTTAATATGCTCATAGAATTTTGGTGAGCAAGCCACTTTATATTGCAGCAAAATCACATGGATTAAGGAGCAATTCTGTGTGCAATAATTTTTTTCTTCTTGTATTATTCAACTCAACAACCTGTTTATGAATTTATCCTATTCTATCATAGCATGGGCTGATATTGCTTTGCAACATACTACTATGAAAATAAAAATTGTTTCTTACAGAGTCCACTCTTTGAATTGAATCTACAAGTAATCATCCCAGTTATAGATGTTTAGGACTCATCTTTTGCTTTCAGGTTATAACTCATTTTTTGCTTTCAGGTTATTACTCTTGATTTGAGTCGTCTTGTTTCTGGAACTAAATATCGTGGAGAGTTTGAGAGTAGACTGCAAAAGATAATGGAAGAAGTCAAAGAATCAGATAACCTAATTCTTTTTATCGATGAAGTGCATACTTTGGTTGGGGCTGGGGCAGCAGAAGGAGCAATAGATGCTGCTAACATGTTAAAACCAGCTCTTGCAAGGGGTGAATTACAGTGCATTGGGGCCACAACGCTTGATGAATACAGGCAACACATTGAGAAGGACCCAGCATTAGAGAGAAGATTTCAGCCTGTTGAAGTGCCTGAGCCCACTGTAGACGAAGCAATACAGATCCTCAGAGGGCTCCGTGAGCGATATGAGATTCACCACAAGCTCTCCTATACAGACGAAGCATTAATTGCAGCAGCAGAACTGTCATCCCGGTACATCAGGCATGTATTCTTTCCTTATTTTTGCTCAGCTCCCTTACAAATTGCCTATCATCCATCTCTTATAGATTGTCTTGTAGCCGATCAATGTTCTGAAAACAAGTGTAAGCCAGTTGATGCGTAGTTACTGTACCACTTTGTCAAGTAATCAGGTTACATATGCTTTTTATCTATGGGGTGGAAGGGTAGGTTGCTTATGATGTGATCCTAATAGTACTACTCATAAACTACTCATAGCTGTGTAATAATAATTCACTTTCATTCCATTTTGCTTCAGATTAAACAATTCTTTCTTTCATAGGTTGGCAATCTGCCCCAACTCTGGAATCTTCTTTGTTTACCCATAGTAGCTAGTTGGTATCAAGCAACCTATATACTTTAAGATTCGTCTTGAGAAATATGATCCACTTTTTACTTAGGCTCACTCATAAAGATCAGTGAAACCATGCTGATTTTGGTTTTCCTTTCCTACAGTCCACAGTTTCTGGAGCTTTGTTACTTCTTTCTTTCATAGCCCTCCCAACTCTCAGGAGGAAAATGAAGACAAATAAAGTTTCATGTTTGACAATAAACTTTTATAAGATACATTTCTTCTTATATTTCTGCTCTTTTCCTTTCTAATGCTGTAGTCATTTGTAATTTGTTCTGATGTATCTGTATATTCCACAGTGATAGGTTTCTTCCTGATAAAGCTATCGATCTTATTGATGAAGCTGGTGCTCATGTGCGGTTGCGCCATGCTGAGGTATGAATTTATACTTCCAAAGTTTTGGGCTTGAAACTTATATGTTGGGGCCTTAATTGTTTCTCCCATCTTCCAGTTTCCTGAAGGAGTAAGAGAACTTGAGAAGCAGGTCACTCAGATTGTAAACGAGAAAGATACTGCTGTCCGCAACCAAGATTTTGAGAAGGTAAAGGGTTTTGTTTACTGATATATACTCCTTTTTATTCATTCTTGTAAATTGTAGCACCTGTATCACACTTTCATGATCCCTTAAGATTAGTAAATCTGTGTGCTCTTTTATAATGGTCGCCAGAAAGTTATGATTTGAATTCAAGAATTTGCTACTGTCCTTTCATAATTTTGTTTTCATGAACTCATGTCTGTACAATTTCCCCTGCTTATATGACCTTGTCTTTAAACCATTTTAATGGTGTCCTAACCCTGAGATACAAGAATTTTGCATACTGTATGGATCTAAAAAGATGGATACAGAAACCTCAGTATAATATTGCTTGGAATTTAGGAATGACCAAAGAGGCTTATAAATGCATCTACTATCTGAATTACTCTCCTAATTACTAGCTAATCCTTCTATTCTAAACATAGTCACTTCACTAGAAGGTAGCGTTCTGGTTATTTGGTTATGAACAAAATTCTGCTATTTATAGGTCGGGTTGGTCGATCTCAATTTTTAGACAATCTGACATTTTAGTGGTCTTTTAAAAATTCAAATCAGTTTATGACCTTTATGTTGGGTTTGGTTCGGGTCAGGTGAGTTGTTGTCAGGTCTATTTGTCTGTCTGCTATGGTTGACTATGAATTGTATGAAGCTTCCTTTTTCTGTGGGCGGGTCTGTTTCTTTGAGGCTTTGAGTTGTAGACTTGTAGATCCTTCCACTCTCTCAGTACATAGTGCTGCAAAATGCCTGACTTTTTGTGCTTTGCCAGTGATATGTGGTGTTCTTGCTAAACAGTTTTACAAACTGCCATATGCAGGCTGGTGAGCTACGTGACCAAGAACTAGAACTGAAGGTACAAATATCTGCACTCATAAGCCAAGACAAGGAACAGAAAGAGGCAAATGTGGACTACGTTGGAGCAGTTGTGACAGACGCAGAGATTAGGGAAATTGTTTTCTCTTGGACAGGTATACCAGTTCAGAAAGTTTCAGCTGACGAATCAAGCCGTCTTCTCAAAATGGAAGACAATCTCCATGGTCGTGTAATAGGTCAAGACGAAGCTGTCAAAGCCATCAGCCGTGCAATTCGGCGTTCTCGCGTTGGCCTAAAGGATCCTGACCGTCCAATTGCCAGCTTCATCTTTTCCGGTCCAACTGGTGTAGGAAAGTCAGAACTTGCGAAAGCTTTAGCTGCTTACTACTTCGGTTCTGAAGAAGCCATGGTCCGCCTTGATATGAGTGAGTTCATGGAGAGACACACGGTTTCTAAGTTGATCGGTTCACCCCCAGGTTATGTGGGTTACTCTGAGGGTGGGCAGCTTACTGAGGCTGTGAGGCGTCGCCCTTATACATTGGTGCTCTTCGATGAAATTGAAAAGGCTCATCCTGATGTGTTTAACATGATGTTGCAGATTCTCGAAGACGGAAGGCTAACCGATAGCAAAGGCAAGACCGTAAATTTTAAAAATACCCTGATGATTATGACCTCAAATGTTGGAAGTAGTGTAATTGAGAAAGGTGGCCGCAGTATGGGATTTGATCTGACGTACGACGAACAAGATAGCAGTTATAACAGGATAAAGACTTTGGTGGTCGAGGAGCTTAAGCAGTACTTTAAGCCAGAGTTTTTGAATAGGTTAGACGATATGATTGTGTTCAGGCAGCTTACAAAGTTGGAAGTCAAGGAGATTGCAGATATCATGCTGAAAGAAGTTTCCAAACGGCTACAACTTAAAGGCATCGATATTCAAGTGACTGAGAGATTCAAAGATAGAGTGGTGAACGATGGATATAATCCAAGTTATGGAGCAAGACCGCTGAGAAGAGCTATCATGAGTCTCTTGGAGGATAGCATGGCTGAGAAGATGCTTGCGAGTGAAATCCAAGAAGGTGATTCAGTTATTCTGGATATTGATTCGAGTGGACATGTCGTCGTGCTCAATAGCAACAGCAGCAGTAGTAGTAGTAGTAGCAGCAGTACTGACTTGATTCCTGAGTTACTTCCTATGTGAAGTATAGAAGTATAGGTGAAATTTGACATCTTTCTACTTTGATTTAGGCATATTGATTGTATTTCATCTTCCCTTGAATTTCTCTCATCTAGTTATTCTTTTATTCAGTTAACATTTGGTGCAAACAGAATTGTCTCATTCGTATAGTAGTTTTTACTAGGTAGTTATCCCTTCACCATCATTTCAAATATCTGAACTTCAGTTTGAGCTTTAAATTTTGTTCAAATTCGTTTCATATAATAATTAGTGCTTAATATGTTTGAGCTCGGGCTTGGCTCGTTTGATCGAGTTTCTTTTTCTCTTTTTTCGAATGAATGTTATAGTAATTGAGCTCATCAACGAACTCATATATTCATGTCGTTGTTATATTGAGGCAAAGTTTATGTATGTGACATTGGTATTAGTTTAAAAAATTAACACTTCTAATGAACTTGGTGACCTTATTAAGAAGTATTAAAATTGAATGTAATAGTTTTGTTTTGAACAAATAAACGTGTTCGAGCCTTTTTGTGTTCGATTTATACGTGTTCGAGCCTTCTTATGTTTTACTTTTTCATGTTCAAGCGTATTAATTAAACGAATCACCTAATCATAGTTATAAAATGAAAATAATATGGTTGGTTGTGGAACTTGTGGTCCTCCTAAACGACGTCGTATAACTAGCACTAAAAAAACTCGAACCACCTAACAATCGCTGAAATCGATGAAATCAGCTCTCATCAGTGGGAAATAAGGAAGAACTCAAAACCCCAATATAATTCGAAGTTTTAATTCGGGTAAAATGTTCTCATCCTTCCTTAAATTTCTTGTTAGTTATATAAAAATGTTAACATTTCATGTTTCCCATTGTCTGATATATCTTTAGTTTGATGTTTGTAGAATCAAATTTGTGATTAAAATCTCTTGTGCCCAGATCTTTGCAAGGCTAAATTTCTGCAACATTGAGGTCCGAAGCTCGTTATGGTGAGAAAAATTAACACCCTTTTATTTACTTGAGTTTATTTTTGTTTAATTAAATTTGTATGACATTGGATTTAGGTGTAAAGATGGGAATTTTCTTGTTTATACAATTATGATGTTATTTGAATGAAATTGAAACATGCTTGAATTGAACTTGTTAAATTACTTATTTTAGATCTTCAGGGATTGCTTTTGATCTGGGATTTTGTATGTAAATGTGCTTTCCTTAGCTATATAATGCAAGAATTTTCCAATTGAATTTTCTGTTCTGATTATGGTATTCACCTATTTGATATGATTTTTATGTCGAAATCTTTAAATTCCAATACAATGTTATGTGCTTTGTCTGTTTTACCTTAATTATTTGTGTTGGATACTCGATACACTTGGAAACTTTCGTGTTGTTGACCTGCAAATTCTTTGGAAAATGCGTAATTCGAACACCTAGACATGTACATTATGTAGTTGAGTTTGTGGAACGTAGTTTTGGAGTTGGGTTTTTCTAATCTTTAGAATACAATCAAGGGATTTAAGGCAAATTCATTGTAGTTTGAACTTCGAATTGATTTGTTTCCAAGCTTTTGATGCTAGCAGAATTAATTAAGTTGTGGCTATGATCATAGGTTTACCACTCTAGTTTTGTTGATGAGGAAGGCGTAACAAAAGCTTGTGGTTGTCCACTACTTGCGTTGAAAAGCCATATCAAGGGTCCTGCACCAATTTCTGATCAAGGTTAGGCTAATCAGTAATCACCATTCCTTTGAACCATTTAATGTACTCCGTAAATGAATTCTACAAACTAATTTCTCCTGTTATTGATCAATGTGTGTTGTGCAAACTTGGTTGTGCAGAAAGTACTGATATCGTTGATGAAGCAATTACCTTTTTCCGCGCTAATGTCTTCTTCAGGAATTTTGACATAAAGAGCTCTGCTGACAAGCTACTTATCTACTTGACTTACTATATCAATGTTGCTTTGAAGAGGCTTGAGGGATGCAGAACATTGGCTGAAGGTACCAAGGCAATCATAAACTTGGGTCTTGAGGATGTTCCAGTCCCTGGAGAGTCTGGGTTTCCTTTCCCTGGTTTATTTACGCCTCCTAAATCGCAGCAGGAAGCACGTAAATTTTCGTTATCCTTCTATGGTTAATATGTAAACTTGCATCTTTTGATGTGTAATCTGCTTTTGTGAACCATTTGTTTCCTACACGATTGCAGCATGTTTTTACAAATTGGATTTATGACGATCCAATTTACCCTTTGAAAATGCATGTCTGAAGGACAAGTTCCAGGTTTAGTGCCATATTAACTTCATTCTTGACAGCCCAAAATGCACTTGTGTAAAATTAGGATTCACAGCCGTGTTAGCTTCAATAATCCAAAAGGCATTTGTTGAGGTCCAATTTCAGTTTTTAGTGCTTATGTTGTCTTCATCCTGTGAATGACCTGGTCAAGGGTACATGAAATTTGTTGAGTACCTGATTTGCTTTGTCATTTTGATATCAGATGTCATGAAGTAGGCATTTTATGTTCTAACAGCATTGGAGATTGTCAATAAAACAATATCAACTTGTAATGTATCACCTAACTTACTCGGACTTGGGTATTGGTAATATTGGTATGGTACTATGGTATAAAAATGTTTATATCCTACAGTCATGCTTAAATTAATTCCTTTCGTTTTGGTGCAAAATGACTTGTCAAGTATCCACACCCATATCAGAGTGTTGAGGATCTGACATGGGTTGCCTGAGCCCGTGAAAAGAAGAGTCTGGGTTACATAGTGTATTACTGCTGCTCTATTCCTCAGATATCATCCTTGATATATCATGTTGAACTGATGTCCAGTTGCCCTCCATTTCATGACATTGAGCAACAGAGCAATTAAACCTTTTTTTTTTCCCTTAACAGTGTTATTCAGAAATTACCTGAAGCAGATAAGAGAAGAGACGAGTGGGAGACTACTGGGTGTTGCTTATCGACATAATGGGACACCAAACAAATGGTGGTTGGCATTTGCTAAGAGGAAATTCGTGAACATCATCGCACTTTGATCAGCTGCTTGCTCGAATTGTCTGAAAGAAAGAAGAATGAGGGCAGCATCCAGTTGCAACAAGAAGATGTGACATATGTCCTGGTACGATGAAAAGAACGTAGAAGAAATTCATTGTATGTGTTTGCCTCACGTGCCCATAGAGCTCCCTCGTCCATTATTTCCTATAATTCCTTGGACTTTCTTTTAAGTAGGCAATCAAATTGCTGATTAGCTGATTAGTGTCTAGTAGGAATCTACTAATCATAGTACAGTAACCTGTTCAACATATGATATTTTAGTGTAAATGTTACAAAAAAAATCCGAAGTTGAAGAAATTAATATCATTACTTATTCTGGTCATGGTGTTATATGTTAAACATGCTGTATTGTAGTTTACTATAGCATTATAAAATTTCGACATATTTCAGAATAGATAAAATTATAAAATGGTGTAATCTGCTAAAGATTTTTGTGTTGTCGTGTATGTACTACAAGTAATTTATAATGCTAAAACTATTATGAAAATTCTATAGTAGTTTAAAATGACTACCGTTATACTAATTTTTTATTGATTAATTTATATTTTTTATTTTTTTTTGGTCAAAGTTAATTATAAATGTTTAGCCAGCAATCAAAAACGAATAGTAACATAAAGAGCATAAACATCATTATAAAAGTAAAAGCACATAACATTTGAAAAATAAACCACATAAACACATAATCAAATCATATTATTAATAAAAGCACGATGCTTCATAATAAGTTGTGTTTTTACCCGTTACATGCAAATCTACATATAATCGGGTGTAGCTTTTACCAATTGAAAACGGGCGGAGTTGTACTCAACACAATGGCACAATTCTCCATGCATCGATAATGGATTCTTCTTTGTAAAATTTCGTTTTCCCTCTGAAGAGAGTTAACATGAAAGACAATCACTCTTTTCTATGTAAAAAGAAGGCATATAGTTTCCTTTTATTTTCTTTGAATTCTCTTTTTCAAGTGGAAGATCGAAAGTATTGAACAAAAACAATGCAAATTTTGTTGCTTTTGCTTTTTCAGCCCTCTCTTTAAGACTATTCCATCTTCTAAAGAAGCTCCTTTCATATATTATAAATATATAAATACCATAATTATTAACTAATAAATTAATTAATTTTCACATATTTTGAAGAGTTTGGTCCCATTGTAAAAGGGCAAAGAAGGTCTTAAAGAAAAAACAATTGAACAAAAGCTAAAGTTTTTGTTCTAAGGATGGACCGATGGATCAATGGACCCTTATTTTCAGGCTGCAAAATTATATTTTGATCATTTTTAGAAGACAAATGTAATGATATATTAATAATCATCATCTTTTACCATCTTACAATTCACTGTCATTGCAGGCACATGTTTCCGACTTAAGATGAACTAGCTAGGGCAAAAGGTAATAAAGTTGATTAGCTCAAATTTATCCATTTGGCCACCTATGGACATGGTAGCTTGATCTTTAATTGCATGTAACTTGTATCACGTATGAGTATTGTGCATACATTGATTCAAATCAAGTGATATTTTAAAGTTTGGTTTGTAACCATAACAAACCTATCAATATCTACAATGTCCTGAGTATAAGTTCAGTTCAATTTAGTGTCTATTTCGTAAATTTGTTGAATTGGTAATCATGAACTACAAGAGATGGTTTAACCACCCAAATGACTTTTTGGAGTCTTGTGGAGTCTAAGGGAAGCACCCACACCTTTTTCATTTTTAAACCCGAAAAAGTCGAAAAATTCTCCAAAATGAAGGCTAATCCACGCTTTCGGACCGACTTCAAAAATTTCTCCGACAATAAAGTAAGTGTGTAGTGTGTCCCCTAGGGTTATAAAAGTTGGTTTGGACCATAAATGCCTAACAATAAGTCTAAAGAGTCCTGAAAATGAGATTGATTAAATTATGATACTATTTTATAATTTTGTTGCATTGGTAGTCAAGCTACAAGAGATGGTTTGAACCACCCAAATGGCTTCCTAAGGTCTTGTGTGGTTCATAAGAAGCACCCTAACTTCTTTCCTTTACAGACCCGAAAAAGTCGAAAATTGTCCAGAACTGAAGTCTATAATCAACGCTATTAGACCAATTTCGAAAAATATTTCCAAAATAAAGTGAGCATGTGAGTCTGTGAGATGTCTCATAGGGTAATAAAAGTTGGTTTTTAATAATAAAAAGCTTATGAATAGGTCAGTCCCGAGAATGAGGTCGGTTCAATTATTTGGTTTTTTTTTTCATAATTCCATCGCGTTGGTAATCAAAAGAGCTAAAATAGATTGTTTCAACCACTCAAATGGCCTCTCGGTAGAAACTCAATAGATCCACGTGAAGCATCCTAACCTCTTCCTTTTAGAGTTTGAAAAAGTCAAAAATTGTCCCAAAATGAAGGCTATATATATATATATATATATATATATATATATATATATATATATATATATATATATATATATATCATCAATTAAAGTAGCGGGTTGATTGTGAAGCAAACTCAAGTAACTTTCAATATATATCTTGAAAATAAAAGTTGGTTTGGAATCATAAAAAGCTTATGAATAGGCCAGTCCCGAGAATGAGGCCGGTTCAATTATTTGGTTTTTTTTTTTTTCTCCTTTTCATAATTCCATTGCATCGGTAATCAAGAGCTAAAATAGATGGTTTCAACCGCCCAAGTGGCCTCCTGGCGGAACTCATGAGATCCACGAGAAGCACCTTAGCCTCTTCCTTTTAGAGTTTGAAAACGTCAAAAATTGTCCCAAAATGAAGGCTATAAATCATCAATTAAAGTAGTGGGTTAATTGTGAAGCAAACTCAAGTAACTTTCAATATATATCTTGAGAATATGATTGACTACTACATTACACTTGCACCAACTCTAGAAAAGTTAATATGATCATAATTGATCAAAAGTTGGGGGATGCAAATATAAATATATATAAATATATATATATATATATATATATATATATATAATTTATTTATTTTTTTTTTCCGAATGGATGGGGGATGCAAATATTTATTAACAATGATAATTTGTTGTATTGATGGTTAAAAAAAGGCTTGATTACTTGTAAAATAAAAATAAAAATAAAAATAAAAAAATAAATAAATTAGGCTTGATTAATGTAGTCTCTTCTTCTTGCTTGTTGTCTTCAATTGTTTATAGTGGAGTAAAGATTTTGGATCTTCAAATCTTGATATCAATTTCTGGCCCCCAATTATTAACACTAACACTAATTGTGTTATTTTGGTTTCAACTAGTTGCTCTCTTGTTTACCATTTTATTTAACTGTATTTACCCTTTCCATGTCATGTAGGGACTTGTATTAGGATCGGAAATAGGGATCGATATGATGTTGATTACTCCTTTTATTGTAAGATAACTGCTTCAAATAGTGGTTAACTGCTCATTTTTGTTAGGTTTTGGATACTAAAGTTTTTTTATGGACTCAGGAGTACCTAGTTCTACAAACGTTTAACATATTTAGGTACTTGTGTCATATGTACAATGTGTGTATAATTTTCGAATAGTCATATTACAAAATTCTCAATATTTTTATACTGACATTATAAATACCTCGGTTTATTCTTCCCGTCACTCTATTACATTAAACTCGATATATAGCCTAAGTGAAAAAAGATTTGATCCCATGGAAAATTCTTGTTGAATACAATGTTACCATTGCAAGTCTGCGCCAAAACATCCTCAATAAAGTGCATACATGTATATGCATGTATGTTAACGTAACTATCTAGAAGAGCTTCATCATTTTAATTCTCATATACATATAGATTATTTTTACGTACAACTTCAAAAAGAGTACGTATATATTGTTCCATCATCAAATTGACAATTATGTATATTCGGTATTATATGAAGATAGACAAATATATTTAAATACATTGTACTTCGTATATACAATATAGACAATGAGTGTATTTGTATATTAATAAACATTACATACATCGATCCAATTATGGAAGATGAAACTTTTCATAGTAATTGATTACATAACCTTAATGCCTATAAACATCAACAAAAATTCACAAGATCCAATGCTAATGATCATGGAAACTACTATTCTACTTAGTGACACCATTTATTCATCATGATTATTGTCTACCACATTTCACCACCTTTATAATATTTATTCACTATATATTATACAATTATTATGTGGATCCTCATATGATCAAAATCATGCGGCATCTTTTTATAATTATTTTTTCCTTATTTCTTCATGTATTATCATATAAAGTGTAACTTCATCATCTCTCCGATCTAAAGCATATAGGTTTAGTGTACAAGTAGCATAAAAAGAGAAAAAGCAAACATGGCCTTTGATAAAAGCTAAAGGGTATTTTTGTCACATTGAATTTTTATTTTACAAAGAAGAAGAGAATCCAACTTTACTTCTCCCCTCTCTCTATCTCTTTATTTCTTTTTTCACATAAAATCTTTACCTTTATATTTCTGTTTTTATTTATTTTTTTATTTTATAATTTTTTGGGTGATCAACTTTAAATATCAGTTATCCAAACGGCTTTATTTTTTTTTCTTGCTTTTTCTTTTCTTCAACATTTTAATTTCATAATAAAGGAAGTTCCTGGAGCTGCCCCCATCGAATTACATATTCGTTCAAGTATAGCATCATTAGCATGGCGAATAAAAGAGTAATTATTGTATGAGACGAGTCACGACGAGTAATAAGATTGACCCTTATTATTAATTAATCAATTTTGCAATTATGAGTGATCTCTATTATTGAAGAAAGTGAATTCGTCTTATATTATAACTTTATAAGACTGTCTCACTATATTAGTCACCTATGTACAAGTTATATGTGTGCTTAATTGTAGCTTAATTAGTTTTCTATGTATATTAGTACATGCATGTATGGTCCTATGTATGATATGACGGAAGTCAACCCAAATTATAACATAAACCTAAGCCAAAGAAAATACAAAAATTGATAACGAAATTTGAAAAGTTTTCCTATTTGTATGTAGGAATGCAATTTTGAATTTAGTAATATAATGTCTATTTTTATTTTCATTCTTATGAACATAAATAATCCAAAATAAGTTTTAGGGTTGATTATTACCTTTAATATGCATATGCACATGTACATCCACTTTAACACATAAATCTCTTGCCACTTAATTTATACTTGGTCCAACAAGCATGATAAAAATAAAAAAAAAATATAAATGATTACAAGTTGAGTTTGAATTTGGGCCAAAACACTGGTTTGACTTGTATAGTGGTCACAGTTATAAAAATACTTCTTAAATGAATAATATTTTAATAACTAATACTTCTTATAAAGCAAATGAAACATATACACACATATATAGTATGTTGCAAAATTTAAAAATTGTTATTCACAAGTCATAGCTCTTTTGTTGTATTTAGTTTAGGGTTCAATCCTCACCCTCACCCAGGGGCGGATCATTGAAGAGACTAAATGGGTCTTCGCCCCTGATAAGTTTGGGGAAAAAATAATATGAAAAGGTTTAAACTACACTGACTTATTACTTTTCGATTTACATAAGTAGTGTATAGGAAAGACAAATAATTAGGACTACAATAACTATCTAATTTCCAACAAATCAGTGACAACACACTATCCACAAAACTCCTCTTTCTCTTTTAATCCACCCATCAAACCATCAATTCATCAATAAAGATGAAGTAATGCACTTTTTTCAGGGGAGCAAAATTAAACGCATCAATTAAAATTGCAAACAAACATCAGTAATATTTCGTTTAATTTTTATTTGGATCTTGTGTGCTAACAAACACCCAGTGCATTAGATAATAAATATTTAAAATATTTACTAAAGTAGTACGGAGTATTAATTTAGGAATGCATATCAAAATCACGCGTCGATCAGTGTAATAAATGTTCATTTTTATTCAATATTTCTACTTTTTGTTATCTTACCCAGCGCCCCTGAGACGATCGTTAGCTTTTACCTTTTTATTTTACTATTACATTAATGTTAATTTTTATACTTCCGTATTATTGAATTTGTAAATGACTTCATATGCTTATTTAATTGTAGTCTTGTTTAAACTGTAAAATTATGTAACGCCGTATAAATTATTGGCCGTCCAAGGAAACAATTAAGATCCGTCACTGCCCCCACCCCTCCTGTATCTTACTGTATAAAAAAAATGATTTGAGTTACCTCACGAATATTTTATCCAATCTAACTCAATTTTATATTATTATGAGATAATTTAAATCTTTTGTGCACTCATTCATTCAAAATTACTTAAGTCAATTAAATTAAACAAAGCTCCATAAAAAAAAAAAAAAAAAAAAAGTCCTTATTCAAAGATCGATGTGCGCTTGTAAGACTAAAGCATAAGAAGAGAAAGGAGAAATCAAGAAAAGGAGAAGAGTAAACCAACTATGATAAAATTAAAGCAATAAAGCAAAGAAAGAAGAACAACTAGAAGGAAAGCAGCAAATAAAAGTAACATACAAGAAAGTAGGTTTTGTGTTTTATTTTATTTAATATATATGAACATATCAACCAACCTTGTTTAAGAAAATCTTGTTTATCAAATCTCTACTACGTCAAAAGATGACCAAAAACTAAAATATTAAATTACCTGCCTCTCTAACAAAACAAAGCTACAAAATCCAAACAAAAATATACAATAGTAACAGCTTATGTAAGCATATTTGTTATTGCTAAGACTAAAAAATTTCAACTTCAAGTCCGTCAATAAATTTTCAAAGCAAATTCTCCTTTCATTGGAAAACCGTCTTTTGTATAGGTCTTATAATAATATACTCCCTCTGTCCTTCAAAAGATTGTTACGATTATACTTTAATTAATATAGTCCTCACAATTTCTGTCTTTTATTTACTACCTCACAAAATAAATTCAGACCAGCAAAAGAAAATGAAGGGAGTAATATTTAAAATTGTCAAAAGCGAAATCGAAAGAATAAAAAGTAACAGAGCGAGTATATATATACTAGGATGCTATTAAGAGGCCCCAGAAGTTCATTTTTTGCAGCACCCTTCTCTTCTTTATTATCCCATTTTACAGAAAGATAGAAGAAAGAAGAAATAAAGCAAAAATCTTTAGCTTAAATTTGAAGACTCTTCTTTTCTCTCTTAAGAGGATGTTTGATTCCATTACTATTTCACACCTCAAGAACAAGTTTCCCAGATTCTCTTCACTTTTACACACTCTTAATTACTCACTTAAAAACCCATCAAAGTAAATAAATTTTGTCCAAAATGTTTATCCTCTTCTTCTTCTTCATCACACACTAAAAAAAAGACTTTCTATTTTAAGCCCATTTTTCCTTACCACAAAAATCAGTAAAATGCTCACTTCATTGCTAAATTTGGTAATATTATCATTCAACATCCTCTGTTTCTTCTTCTTGTTGTTATCATCATCTTCATTATCCCATGTGTTAGCCTCAGATTATGAAGCATTATTTACTCTAAAGCAAGGTTTTCATCACTCAAAGCCTTCATTAAATAGCTGGAATCACTCGAATTCGAGCTCGGTTTGTTTTTGGAAAGGAGTTAAGTGTCTTAATGGGAGAGTAATCTCATTAGACTTAACTGATTTAAACCTTGAAGGCTCTGTTTCCCCTGTTTTAAACACCTTAGATAGCCTCATTCACCTCTCCTTAGCAGGAAACAACTTCTCGGGTAGACTCGAACAAGTCGTACTTGATAACAAAAACAATCTTCGCTTCCTCAACCTATCTAACAACCTCTTCGATGGTGGGTTGGATGGTTGGAACTATTCCTCTACGCCGAATTTGGAAGTATTTGATGTGAATAACAATAATCTTAGTTCACCTCTTCCTTTAGGGGTAACAAGGTTGAAAAAACTAAGGCATTTAGATTTGGGAGGAAACTATTTCTTTGGTGAAATCCCAAGAATTTATGGTGATATAATCTCCTTAGAATATTTGTTTCTTGGAGGAAATGATCTTCAAGGAAGTATCCCAAAAGAGTTGGGTAACTTGACAAATTTAAGGGAGCTTTATCTAGGGCAATTTAATCTGTATGAAGGTGGCATTCCTAAGGAGTTAGGGAATTTGGTTAATCTTGTTCATTTGGATGTATCAAGCTGTGGATTAACCGGTCCAATACCGAAAGAGCTAGGGAATTTAGCATCCCTTGATACACTCTACTTGCATATGAACCATCTTTCAGGAACTATCCCTAATGAATTAGGGAACCTCACAAGTTTAGTTAACCTCGATCTTTCGATTAATGAGCTTAGTGGGGAGATACCTCAAGAGTTTATCAACTTTAAAAACCTCAAATTGTTCAATCTTTTCGTGAACAAGTTACATGGGTCAATTCCTGATTATGTTGCTGATGGTTTGCCTAGCTTGGACACTCTCAAGCTGTGGAAGAACAACTTCACCGGTGAGATACCGCGATTTTTAGGCCAAAATGGGAAGCTTCAAGAGCTAGATTTGTCATCAAATAAACTCACTGGTACTATCCCTTCATATTTGTGTGATTCAAACCAACTTAGTGTCTTAATTTTGATGAATAATTTTCTTTTTGGACCAATCCCTGAAAGTCTAGGCTCTTGTACTAGTCTTGTTAGGGTAAGATTAGGCCAAAATTACCTTAATGGTAGTGTCCCAAATGGGTTGGTCTACTTACCCAAACTAAACTTGTTAGAGCTTCAAAACAACTATCTTTCCGGTAATTTGCCTGAAAATGTTGATCCTTTGTCATTCAATCCTGCTAAATTAGATCAAATCGACGTGTCGAATAATCGATTATCAGGGCCTTTGCCTGTTTCATTGTCCAATTTTACTTCAATTCAATTTCTTTATTTTGAGGGTAACCAATTTTCGGGTCCAATTCCACAGTCTATTGGTCAACTTAAGCAAGTGATTAAGCTTGATCTTAGCAAAAATTATCTCTCTGGGTTAATTCCTCTTGAAATTGGAAATTGTGTTCATCTTACATATCTTGATCTTAGTCAAAATAATCTTTCTGGGTCAATTCCTCCTGAAATTTCTAGTAATCGAATTTTGGTTTACTTGAATTTGTCTAGGAATCACATAAATGGTACGTTACCCGTGTCGATAGGGTCTATGAAAAGTCTTACAAGTGCTGATTTTTCCTTCAATGACCTCTCGGGCAAACTGCCCGAATCCGGGCAGTTTGCCGTGTTTAATGCCTCATCCTTTGTGGGTAACCCATTACTTTGTGTGTCGTCTTTGAATAACCCTTGTAACTTAACCTTAGTTCCAAGTCCGAGTAGGAAATTGAGTAGTGGTGAGTTTAAGCTCATTTTTGCTCTTGCCCTTTTGGTTTGTTCCCTAATTTTCGCGGTGGCCGCAGTCATGAAGGCCAAATCCTTTAAAAAGAGGTCAGATTCTTGGAAAATGACCACTTTCACAAAGGTAGAATTTAATGTCTCGGATATTCTTGAATGCATGAAGGATGGCAATGTGATTGGAAGAGGGGGTGCGGGAATTGTTTACCACGGTAAAATGCCTTTTGGGTCCGAAATCGCGGTAAAAAAGTTGTTAGTTTTCGGACCCAACAGGCATGACCATGGTTTCAAAGCCGAGATTGAAACCCTTGGGCAGATAAGGCATCGTAACATAGTGAGGTTGCTCGCGTTCTGCTCTAACAAGCACACCAATCTCTTGGTGTACGAGTACATGCGGAACGGGAGCCTCGGCGAAGCACTACATGGTAAAAAATTGGGAGGGTTCCTAGGGTGGAATATGAGGTACAAGATTGGAATTGAGGCTTCAAAGGGACTTTGTTACCTTCACCATGACTGTTCTCCTCTGATAGTTCACCGTGACGTAAAATCCAACAACATACTCTTGAACTCGCATTTTGAGGCACACGTGGCGGATTTCGGGCTAGCCAAGTTCTTGTCCGGGGGCGGCGCATCAGAGTGCATGTCAGCAATTGCTGGATCTTATGGCTATATTGCTCCAGGTATGTGACTGTCATTCTCTCAATCGAGTGTTGCAGTTTTGCTCTACCTAGCTTACAAAATTTTAGTGTCCTTACATGATATGTACTACTAATTAATTAAAAAAAAATTACTAAGATTAATTGTTGCATAAATTCGTTAAGTTAGTTAATTTATATGAAATGCTTTTAGTGTGAGTGAACTTGTGAAGTTCTGTCAATTGGTCAGTAGTTTGTTAGTGAACAAAAGTGGCCCACTTTGGCTTATATAGTTTTTGGTAAATTGTGATTGTCTGCTGTTGGTAAACATGCCTGTAAAATAAACCAAAATAATTCTAATAATAATAATAATAATAATAATAATATTTGTACATTTGTACTCATATTACTACTTATTTTTCTAGTTTTTGTGTGTATGTTATTATACTTCGTATTTGAAATTATACCATATTTATAAAGATGTTAACTAACAATGATTTTTAAACCTAAATATTACTTCATACTTCGTATATTATAGCACTAGGAAATAAGAATAAAACATATTGTAATGCATGATATATATAAAGAGTAAAATGTACAAGTAATATATACGTAGTAATATGGAAATGAATAATTTGCTCGTGTCGAGTGGTTTAAATCCATACACATACATTTCCCCATAAATAAATCTAAATTCATATTGTCTCTTTTTTTTTTTTTTTTTTTCCTTGAAAGGATATCACATCTACCTGTTTTTGTACCTCATAATACTCCATAATTATTTTTATTTTTTAAGTATTATATTTTATAATAAAAGTATATAGCTCAATTTTAATCAATACCTGCTTTTTGTCTTAAGTTCTAAAATTCTTTTGACACAATAATAAATTACTCCACTATACATTATACACTATTATGGCGGTAATTTTATTTTAATTTGAAGGATAAAAAGCATTCAACAATACTGTAAACATTTATCGGGAGTGTAAAATTCCAAAACTGGGATCTATTTTGAACCTTACAAAAAGGCTGCTTAGCTGTTACATTGCATTGTACTCTCATTCTCAATGTCCACTGAATGCGACCAAACACTATCATTACTCTCATCATTAGCTCTATTTTAAACCTACCATCACTCGCATCCCTAGATACACGCTACTAGTACAAATTACACTCGTAATAATTAAGACACGTAGTTAGACAAGACAAAACTGACGTAACTAAAAACAAGTACATAGTCACTACATACTAATGAATAAGTATATATATACATAGTATATTACGATTGTGTATGTATTATGTATGATTTGGATTATCGCTAGCTATAAGATAAGATCTTATTTAAAATGGAGGGATTAATATTTTTAAAGCGATCGAGTTAAATTTTGAACTATTCATGCATAGTAATAGGTGTGGGACACATTTTAGTAATAGGGTAGTCCATGATTTGTCGAGGCTAAAGTGAAAGATGTGGGGGGCTATATGTGATGAAATGTTGGTGAATTGTTAGGTGTCAGAGGAGCAAATATTTTTGGGGAGAATTTTATGGAAAACAGCTAAAGAATTATAAAATGAAAAAATTAACATTAAAAAAGAAAAGCAAAAGCTAAATAAAAAAAAAAGGGAAAAAAAAAAAAGAAGGAAGCAAAGCAAAGTTGACTGATTAATATCTATGGGCCAGTGTGACACTATCATCCATCGTGTGCTGTGAAAGTGAATACCACATGCACATATATTATCGTGCCCACTTCCCCCTTAATGTTTTCTCTTTACATAAAGAAATTAAAGTGTCTACTCCTTTTTTTTTTTTTTTAATTACTCATTTCCGTCGTGTACGTATAATACAACAACATAATAGAGGTGATCATCGAGTCGTTTGGATTAGTTCTTCGTTCGAATGAATAATCATTTTGTATTCGGTTGCAAGTTTAGTTGAGTTGGGTTGTGTATGTGTGTCTTGAATGTTGCTTAATTGATTGTTATGTAACTCGTGGATACGTATAATACAGTAAATGTAGCAATCGTGTTATTTTGACTAGTTAATTGTCTTAACTTGTGCCTATATGTATGTTAGGTTAAGTAGAAAAAAATAAAAAAATAAAATAAAAAATAGCAATTTTCGAGTTAGGTGTATTAAGAATCTAATTTGGTTGATTCGATATGAATCTTTTGAGGATTCAAATATATGATGTTGTTTTCTGAAGGCTCCGACAACTTTAGAATGCAACTTCTTTAATGTTTAGCATCCGATACTTGAATTTTTTAATGCATGATTCTTATTCATATTGGCGTCTTTTTTTGTAGTTGTATTATCTTAGTATATGATATTATGATATTATCTAACTAATCAATTAATTTGACGTGCAGAATATGCATACACTTTGAGGGTGGACGAGAAGAGTGATGTTTACAGTTTTGGTGTGGTACTACTTGAGCTATTGACTGGACGTCGTCCCGTGGGTGATTTTGGAGAAGGGGTAGATATAGTGCAATGGTCAAGAGTCCAAACGAATTGCCGTAAGGAAAATGTGCCTCTCATAATTGATTCTCGATTAACCGCGGTGCCCCAAGACGAAGCGATGCATTTGTTCTTTGTTGCTATGTTGTGCACCCAAGAGAATAGTGTTGAACGTCCAACAATGCGAGAAGTGGTTCAAATTCTATCAGAATATCCTTACCATGCTATGGGATATCAACCTGCTTCATCGACTTCATTACTCGTTAATAATAACAATAACAATAATACCAAGCAACAATCTAATGATGTTAAGAAAGGATAAAAAGATTGATCCAAATCATCAGGAAAAACTTGTGGTATAAGGGTTTTTTTTTTTTTTTTTTTAATTTTTTGGGGAAATTTTTGAGAATTGTGTCTAGAAATGTAGTTTTTTGTTATTATAGTCTTCTATTGTGAAAAATTAATATGTAACTTTTTATTTCTAGTTTCACTGTCTAATTAGATTTAGGCATAGAGTGAATATTGGTTATGGAATATATATAAATGTATACAAAATAATTTTGATTCGACGATTGTCTATGGAGATGTCGTAGACTCCTTAGCCCTATATACAAGATAATATTCTACCATATCAAATAATATCCCAAAATATCTCAATAGATTATAATCAAAATTTATTATTGTAATATTATTGTTAATTTAAATTAATAATTATCAAAGATAATACATTTATTTGCTTCGGAAAAAAAAAAGAGAATTTTCCAACTACATTAATAATTATGAATGATGTACTACGTAATTGGCATTATAATTGTTTTTCGATTGAGAATTGATAAAATTGGACGGTTTTATCTAATTCAAATTGTTGCTTAAAATGTACAGGTGAAAATGAAATTATTTGATTGTTAATTGATTTTAGAATTCAATTTCTACTCTCGATTTGATAAAATTGATCGTGTCATTTAATTGAATTGCAGAATTTGATTTCTGGTGGACAGTGTAGACTTGATGGCGGATGAAAATGAAGTGGATATTGGCCGGCAATTACCGGATGAATCGTTGATTGAAATTCTGGCAGTAAAATCCCTTGTGTAAGTAAGTTTTGGCTCTATCTCATAAAATCTCCTGAATTTATGGCTTTGTCGAATCATGATTATTGTGGAGCTACATGGAGACTTTTTAGATTTGGTTTATTTGAGATGTATCCACTACCTGTTTAAGCACTCCAAGTTCACTTACCAAACTCCCATTGTTTTAAGTTTAGTCCTGCTAAACAACTTTCATCTGTGGTGCTGATCAGAAAAGACACAAAACATCTCTAACAGAATTTTTTGCTATGAATGCGGCTTTTCCAAATGTACTGAAGTACACTTATATTCTGAATTCTCTGAGCATTACGTCTGGACTTACATTCTGTTACAAAGTGTATATTAGAGGCTTCTGAATCCCAAATGCCTCAGACTGTAAGGCGGGGTTATAAATAAGGATTTAACATCGAATTTTGATAAATTTCTAGGCAAATCTCGTCCTCTTCATTCATTAAGGATCAAATATATATACAACTCAACTCCTTGTTCACCAAGGCAACCAAAAATACGCAAGATAATTTCCTAGTAAGATAATATCAAGTCCTAGGAAGTTAAATATTCTCCACCTAACACTACTAATCGTATCTTAACAATAGATATATCTTTCTTCAAAATACAATAAGTCAATATTTATCTTAAGATCTCAATAATTTTCCTATCGACAACTTTGTTTATATATTGAGTCCCAACAATTCGATATAAATAATATAATACCACAAATAGAGAGAGATATTACCACTTAAAAACAGAGAATTGTGACCAACAACTAACATACTTTCGTCATTCTCAAATATATCTTAATCAAAACATCAACCTCTTATTGTTTCAAAACCAACATCAACCTTTTATTTTGAACTCTATCAAATACACACGTCAACCAAGTAGCCAATATTTTGAAACCTCCGCTGCAGATGTTGTTGCTGTTAGTGGTATAGAAGGTTGAGCAGTTGACAAAACTACCTGCTTGACTATCGACACAAATATACAAGTCCGTCAACACATGCAGCTCTTGCTTGCACCACATATCAAGTATGGTTCGTGCATGCTCAATGCATTAAGGACTTCTTTCACCGCGTAAGTCTTCTGATCATATGGAGCCAAAACTGGAGAGATAAATATAAATTTTTTAATCACGAAAATGAAATGAAAATAATATTGTAGAAGGATAAAGTAGAGCTTACTACCGGGGGTGGAGCTAAATTTAAGGCAACGGAGTCAATTGACACCACTTACTTTTTGTAAAAAAAATATTACAAACATTAAAAAAAAAAAAAAATACTACTTTAAATTGAATTATTTAATATTGAAAACACAATGTAAAAATTCAAAAAAATCTATCAATATAAAACACATATTTCATATGTGTATACATGTGCAATATATAAATATAATTGTAAGTCATTAGGAAAGTTTATATAAATATTTTTATTAATAATTTAGGATAAATAATCCATTTACTTTTGGTTAAAAATTAGTTTAAATTGATTGTTGAAAAGTTTGCTCCGCCACCGCTTACTACCTCTACCACCTTGCATAATGAAAGGTAGATGGAATAAATCCAAAGCTTTTTGGAAATGTTGTATTTTGCTGAATAAATGTTATGCATGTCCCATGCTTGTTCCATTCACCCCAAAATGCCAAATTTGCAACCGCATTACCGTAGTAGTAGAGGTTTGGCCACTCTAGGTCTGGTGTACCCTTCAAGCTTTGGATCTCTACAACAATCAGTGACGAATTATAGCAAAATGTGGAAATCTTTGAAGTAGTTGGCTTCGGTAGTTTAGTATTGGTGGTAGTGGTGGGTCATTAGGCCATAATCCATGAATAGTGAATTTTGGGGTCTTTGCTGGTAAGGGACTCTTAAACTAGCTTTTCTGGGAAGCTTATAAACCATACCCATACCCATAGCTCAGTGCTAGGATATGGTTCCGAGCTTGAAACGGTGGGGATGTGTTGTAGGCGGATTCGGGGACGCCGGGCGCGTTGGTTGTTAGAGCAAAGGTTTTGTAGTGGGTATGTACAATTGCTAAGAGAAAAAAATGATTAGCCTCATGATTTGCAAGCCAGATGATGTACAATTTTAAATTGTGCTGTGCTTTAGGTTTTTTGTTTTTAAGAAAAGGTAGAACGGGTTGTGTTTGTGATTTAGTGCGTGGCTGTATTACTTGGTATATATAGCCAATTGATATGATTATTCTTTGGCTGAGTTATACCCAAGTAACTCATTGGTGTAAGGAGATGACAATTATACAAATTGTAGTAATCTCAAACATCACAATTAAATATCCTATTTTAATGCTTATATTGTAAGGTTAGTGCATAACAACGATGATAGTACATTAGTGCCTGGTTTAAAATGCTCCAAGTAACAATAATGCATTTGCCATACAAAAGCATATCTATATTATTTAGGCTCTGATTATTCTACAAAGTTATATTGTGTACTTGCAAATGTGCATGAGTGTGTATCACCACACCACACTAAGCAGTTAATTACTCACACAGGCAAACTAAATTGTTGGTCAGATCCTATATATCTATTTGAGATTAAGTGATCAATGGGTACAAGTGTAAGCGAAAACATTGTTAGGCCTCCTCATGATGTTTTATGTGCAAAAGACATTCTATTACAAGGCCAATCATGAGCATTGAGTTCATAACGTACAATTGCTTCATCCGGAAAGTCAACTTAGAATTTGGACCATGAATCAGTTAGCAAAAAGGGTTCTTATTTTGGTATATTATTACATGCTGCCAATGCATGTTTTGGTATAACTATTAGTAGCTCCTCCGATTTAAAATAATATTAACTTTTAATCTGCTGTATATATGTTGTTTTACCCTAGTTATAATAGGGTTATAATCTGAATCATATATTCTGAATTTAGTTTTCATATTTTTTTTTTTTTTTTAGAGTTCCAAGTCACCACAAAGGTCATACTCCATGACTAACAAGTGAAGACTATTGATTGAATTTTAATAACTTATTGAGGTGTGGATGGTCAACTAGCTAGATTAGTTAAAAGTCTTGAGAGTAGATACTAAAAAAAATTGGGATTAAATCCCGCCTACAACCCAGAATAAAAATTAAAAAAAAAAAAAAAAACATGGGCATTGAGGTCAAATAAATACTGGAATGACTCAACATAAAACCATGGTTAATCACTAATAGACCTACGTATTGTATTTCAACTACACTCAAATAGCCATTAGACGAGCCAACACATTATTTAGCATTTCTGCCAAACACGTGACTAGAGGTGATTAGGTCAAGATTGAGTTCTGCCAGGAAGATGTTGACCAGCTTTGTACAAAATTAACTCAAACTAATTTTGATTTGATGGGTGATTCATGACAATAAGAGAGTAATCTCCAAAAGCTAGTTCAAGAGGAGGATAACTCATTGTCCTATGTAATCTCCACGCCAACCCTCCATATAACTGATGTGGAATTCAAGTGACTTAAGTCTCATACCTTGCAATGGACCACAACAATGGGGTTTATATTAGTCCCAACTCCCAACATGAAACCATCAAGATCAGCTCAAGCGGGTTCGAGTCGGGTCAGCTTTAGGTTCATTTACCATATACTGATATACGGATTACTTAAGGTTCTCTTCTCAAAGCCCAAAATCCCACCAACCAATTATACGCCACATCAACAACAAAAACATTATCTCTCCCTTTCTTCCTCTTTTCTCAATCTCAAAATTGGGTTTTTATTTGTGTCTTACATTCAGATACTCCTCTATTCATTGTCTTGTATGACGCAAAAATCGTCAACAAACAATTTACTTACTTCTGTCTTTCACAATACCCAAGATTTGATTTTTAGCTTGGGTTTTATCGCCTTTTTGTGGTGTAGGTAGAAGAGTGTGTAAGTGTTCTTAGTCTTTTTCATTTGATTCCATCCTCAATTTTATCAAATGGGTTCATCGATTTCCCCTTTGATCATAGAGTTGAAGATTCAATTTTGATGGAATTTTTCAATCTTCTAAGATCAGGGTATTTTTCACTGTGTATTAATTGGTCGTGGGTCAACATTTGAATGAAGGTAATTTCCTCAATTTTTTCTTAGAATTATTGCATTGTGATGAAAATTATGGAACAAAATTATGTGATTTGAATTAATTGGTTAATCGATTGATAGTCTGATTTTGCATCTTTATTTGCTGTAATTATGTTTTGGTTGGTAATTTCTGAAATTGCTGTAATAGAATGCAGATTACTTTCAGTGGTATATAAATTTGATAGTCTTTGGTGCGTTCATAACTCATAAGAAGTGGAGAAAATTGGGATGTTGTATACAATGTTATCCGGACTTTTGACACTTCATTTTGGACCAAAAACACGGTTGTTTATACAAAATTGTTGAGTCGGACACTTGGACACGTACCTGTTTCTGGTATTAGTTTTTAAATCCTTGTAACATAGTATTTTTGCTGGTGTATTATCAATTATCAGTTGCCACTATCTCAATGGAGCTGGGTTGAAGGTTTTCTGATGTGTATGTATTGTGATTTTGGATAAGTTTGTGCCAATTACGAGAGTAACAATCTGTATATTTATGATCCAATTAATCAATAGAGCTTTAGTCTTAGGTAACTAAATTCGCCGTTGCTAAGATAGTTTATACTTGTTATTACGAAGTATACTTCACAGTGACCATTTGGATCTTTGAAAGATTGTTAGTGGATTATATCCAAGCTACAAGCTCTTATTTTTCGTTTCTAAAAGGCATAAGTTGCAAGTAGATGTAAGGCTGTGAACTGCTATGATCACTTATTTGGGTAATGTTTCTTCATTTCTTATGCTTTCGCTAGTCAAAAAGATAATCTTACATATGCAATTGATTAAAAGTAATTAACATAACTGTGTTGATTGTTATGCTTGTTCAGTTGCCTCTACCATTTTGCTACTTAGCTTTCTAGCCTTAAGGAATCGAGTTGTTCTACTTGAATTATATTCAATTTCAGCATCTTCTATTCATTTAAGCTTTTCAGCTTCTCTTAGTTGAAAATTTGGGTTATCACTTTAGATATCTACTTCGTATTTACTTCTAGTTCTTGTCTTCTTGAAGATGAAGAGCATCAGGGATTGGGTTTTCGCTCAGTTAGTTTCTGGTTCATTTGTCTTGCCAAGGCCTTTGTCTAGCAGTTTGGAAGAAGAACCCCAGAATGAGGAGTTTGCTTCTTCAGGTACTTCAACTTAAAAATTTGAGGAATTTATGTTAACCAAGTATTAGATATTATTGGAAAGCTGGTTTTGATGCATTTTTTATGTAACCAGATAGATTGCCATCAAGAAGTGCTAACCAGTGAATGATTGAGTGTTGCTAATTACTTTTACTTGTATGGTAGTACCAGCCCTATTTACACCACAGCTGATTACACTAGATTGATAGAATATTCTCCTTACACAATGCTTTATGAGAACCCTTTATCTTAAGTCTGTGTAATATTACCTGAGTCTTTATGTTGTTGGTATTCAGTTTTGTGCTTCTGTTGATGCCTGCTGTCAAAATGCATCCAATTTTTTGTGTTTAAACATTATTAGGAGAAAGCATGTTATTGAGGTTATATTGGTTTAGGTGCTATCCCCTTGTGTTCATTTTTCTGGGAGAAAGAAAGTTCTATAAATCCAGTTGCTTTGGGCCTTTGTCAGATTGCTCTGTCAGTATGTTGCACCCAGGTGATTTTGAATTTTTGATGCTTGTCCGGTTGGATTCTAAGCTGCAATAAGTAGTAAAACACAAGAACATCAATGTTGCTGCAATTATTTGACCACCTCATAGCTGATAAATCAAAGTTTCTAAATTAAAGGATCGGCATTAGTTAGATTCTACCCCTATTACCCACACTACTCCAAGCACCCCCCCACCCTCCCCTCGCTTCACAGGACTCCCGCGTTAAGATGAGTAAAAAAAATCTGTTAGCTAGATCGGAGGCTTGTCCCTTGGAATTTATTTTGCTCCTCGACTTCTTATATATTTTTCTAGCTTTACCTGTGGATTGGGGAGAAAAAGTTTACTTTTGCCTGTAGGCTTATTGTTTGGGTTTGAGGGCCATGTAGCACAAGTTGCTCTTTGTAATACACAATTTGTATCATACATGTTACATCAATGTAATATGAATTTAATTTTCCAAGAAAAAATGTAATATGAAACTTTTAACATTTGATACTGTTTTAGCAGAGTATGTTTAGGATATGATAGATATTCTTGGTGTAGAAACTTCACTTGGGTAGTGTACCATTAGTTTTGAACAACTTCTTATGTGATGCTGCTCTTGGTGTGTACAGGCTCTGCACAAAATGCTGGGGTGATAGCATCGCATGTAACTGCTGATTTGCTGCCTTCTTCCAACAGGGGTCAAGAAAGCTCAATGGATTCTACTGACCTTCCCTCTCCTTCTCCCGACTCTTCTGGTAGAATAAAGTTGGATCCATTGTCAAAAATTGAGACACTTCAAATCAATTTCTTCCGTATCCTGCAACGGCTTAGGCAATCACCTGAAGACATACTTGTGGCTAAGATCCTATACCGTATTCATCTAGCAACATTGATAAGAGCAGGGGAATCAGATTTAAGTAGAATTAATCTCAGAAGTGATAAAGCTAGAGCTTTAGCAACAGAACGGGAGGCCGCTGGGCGACCTGCACTTGATTTTTCTTTGAGAATACTTGTCTTGGGAAAGACCGGTGTTGGTAAGAGCGCTACAATTAACTCGATTTTTAATCAGACAAAGGCTATGACAAATGCTTTTAAGCCTGCTACGGATCGCATCCAAGAGATTACTGGTTTTGTGAATGATATTAAGGTAACAGTTATTGACACTCCTGGATTCTGGCCATCTTCTACACGCAATGCACGAAGGAACAGGAAAATTATGCTTTCTATAAAAAGGTACATTAAAAAAAATCCTCCAGATGTTGTTTTGTATCTTGAACGCCTTGATACCATGAGCAAGGGGTATAATGACTTCCCCCTCTTAAGGCTTATGACAGATATTTTTGGTTCTGCAATGTGGTTTAACACCATTCTTGTCATGACGAACGCTGCTGCAGAACTTCCTGAGGGACCCACTGGCTCTTCCATCAATTATGAATCATATGTGACCCATTGCACAGACCTTTTGCAAAGATACATACAGCTGGTGGTTTCTGATGCCAAGCTTGAAAACCCGGTTGTTTTGGCTGAAAACCATTCATGTAGGACAAATACCTCAGGAGAAAGAATACTTCCGAATGGGCAGATCTGGAAACGACAATTGTTGTTATTGTGCACGTGCACTAAGGTACTGGGTGATGCTAATTCCCTTTTGGGACTCCAAAACAGTATTGAACTTGGGCCATCTAATAACTCTCGGCTGCCTTCACTGCCCCATCTACTTTCATCTTTTCTCCAGCAGCGCCCCTCTATGACAGATGAAGTTGATGAATATTGCCTTTCAGATAGTGAAGAGGATGAGTATGATCAGTTACCTCCTATCCGTATTTTGACAAAAGTTCAATTTGAGAAGCTGAGTGACTCTCAGAAGAAAGATTATCTCGATGAGCTAGATTACAGAGAAACCTTATTTTTGAAGAAGCAACTGAAGGAAGAGTCACGCAAGAGGAAAGAAAGAAAGCTTTTAGGGGACAAAATCTTGCCCTCTGAAGGCAGTACTGATGATCCTGAAGCTGTACCTGAGGCTGTCCAGCTGCCTGATGTAGCAGTCCCTCCAAGTTTTGACTGTGATTCACCCGTATATAGATATCGAGGTGTTGTTATGAGTGACCAATGGCTCTGGAGGCCTGTGCTAGATCCCCATGGATGGGACCATGATGTGGGCTTTGACGGAGTAAACTTGGAAACAGCTGTTGAAATTAAAAGGAACTTAACTGCTTCAATTTCTGGACAAATGAGCAAGGACAAGCATGATTTCAGTATTCACTCCGAGTGTGCTGCGGCCTATACAGATCCCAGAGGCCCCACATACTCTATAGGCCTTGACGTTCAATCATCTGGCCGTGATATGGTCTATACTGTTCGAAGCCATGCTAAATCAGGAAACTTGAAGCAAAATGTTGCTGGGTGTGGAGTTTCTGTGACATCGTTCCAGAATAAGTACTACATTGGTACTAAGCTCGAAGATTCCCTTCACTTAGGTAAGAGACTGAAATTGGCAGTTAATGCGGGTCGATTGGAGGGTGGCGGGCAAGCTGCATACGGTGGGAGCCTTGAAGCTACTTTAAGAGGAAGAGACTACCCAGTGAGGAGTGATAAGGTCACTATGACCATGAATGTTCTGTCTTTTAAGAATGAATTAGTCTTGAGTGGAAATTTGGAGTCAGAGTTCCGTCCAAGCCGAGGTACAAGACTGTCAGTTAATGCGAATTTGAATAACCGGAATATGGGACAAGTTTCCATCAAGACTTCTAGCTCCGAACACGTGCAAATAGCTTTCATCGCGGTGTTCACTATTGTCAGAGCTATTTTCCGAAAAAGGGAACATAAATTGCAACTTGCTGAAGCTCAGGAGGTGGGATGAAATTTGCTGCCTACTCCTGGAGTTTCAGGTTGAGGTTTGGCATAGTGGTGTCCTTCCCTCAGTAACCGATAAATTATCATCCTTTTCCATAGCAGCATACAGATGTACGTTTCAATTTTGGCGATTAGTGACATTCGAGGGACACAACCTCTTGTTTGTATAGTTCTTGGAGGAGAGTAGTACTTGCTCATTTTGATCATGAGTGTAGGAATTAGGAGGCAATTTTATTATCCATCCATAAAATCAAAAGTGTATGTATTTCAGCTGGAAAATGCATCACAATTTACAGTATACTAGTCTCTGGAAATTAAGAGCACTTTTAACTTCCCATCAATCTATTTTTTGTTTAAGGTGATCCAACACAACAGTCTGCTTTTGTTTTTGTTTCAATGCTTTTGTTGGTGTTGAGATGCACACGTGTAGTAATATTTGGAAACCACCTTTTGGCTGACAGATGGCCGTGTACTCTCCGCGTTTTAAAATATTGTTTCTATTCATGAATCCTATTAGATTCGATTCCCATATAAAATATTGACCATAAGTCTTATTAAATTCGTCTCAAGACCATAAGTCTTATTAGATTCGTCTCAAAGATGTTAATGATCAAACACATACATTGCGAGCCGAACATTTAAAGACGAAGGAAGTTCTCGATTTTGCAGATGGGTCACCCTGTCCACCCTCTCTAGTGCATGAGAATGAGCCTTAATGGACCCTACTATATATACCTTAAAGAAGTGTGGTAGTTTTCATCAAGTCAATTATTGAAGCCAACTTCATTATACCCGTATAAAAGAAACTCTAGTCTTTACATACTATGCCTACATTAGAAAACTGTGACAAAGTTGTGAAATTGATCAGACATTCACATGCCACTTCTAATAGAATGAGCAACTTTCAGTGTAGTACGAGGATAAATACTCTCAATCAAATTTCTTGTGAATATATCTTTTCACATCGGTGCTTAGTTTACATGTAGAGTTATATACAACCTTCGTTTCATATTATTTGTAATGATTAGACATTTTTTTATTCACATTTTATGTTAAATCGTTACACAAATAATATAAAGCTGGGGTAGTATTACCCTCCTCCACCTCCCCAAATAAAATGTACGGAATCACTTCATAAGTGTGATCTTCTAAAAATTAACTAATTCTATATGCACGCTGCTAAAAGTTTCATACACACGGCAAGATCAACAACCTATATCAATATGGAGTATATATAAAACATTGCTCAATAGCTGACTTATGTAATTAATTGGGATTCCTCGGCTTATTTTCTGCTAAAAAACACATTTTTAACGTACACAAATTGTATAAACACTTAACATGAGAAAACTATGGAAATCTAAATATTTTTTCTACTTCATTCATTTGAGTTCTTTTTCATCTCTCCTACCTGAAAATAAATGATCAAAATTCACCTCATCAAACAATTTTCTTACATTACATACACAAATACTTACAACCACCCAAACCAATTAGCAACCCAAATAAAATAAATTATAATTCGACAAAACCCAACATTTTCTAAATTAAATTTCCTACAAAAAAAATTAATCAAAGAAAAGAACCCCACAAAACCTCAGCTTGAATAGTAGCAACTTCAGCATCAGAAAATGAAGCTTCCTTAACTCTTCTCAAAATTTCTTGCTTAAAACTCCTTTTCTCTCTTTGCCTTAATCCTTCTCCCACCTCTAATTGCACTGCAAATCTTGCTACACAGCTTGCAAATGGATGTCTTTCTAAATATTTCTCTCTCTTCCCCTGTTTTTCCTCTGTTTTCCCCTGTTTTTTCTCCCCTGTTTTCCTCTGTTTCACACTCTCTTACATCAATTAAATCTCCACCAAGCTCTGATCTTTGCAATCCCACCAATATCTTCACTATATCCTCCTTGATCATCGCCTCAATCGCTTCTTTTCGCCCGAAATACCCGATTTCAAGCACACAATCGAACCCAAGTACTTGAATTGCCAAATTATCCGATCTTAGAAACCCAATTATACTTGGAATTTCATTGTTTGATTCAATTTCATCAACTAATGGACTTTTGGTTGACTTGATCAAAGAACAAAGAACTTTCAATGATGAACTTGATGACATTGAAATCAAAGCTTTGATTGTTGGACCCATTAACACTTGACCAACAAACACATTCTTGTTAAACCTTATTAATCCTTCAATTACATAAGCAGATTCTTCCCTAATCTTATTTGACAAATTCGAGTTAATCAAACACATTTCCAACTCATTAAAAATCCCAGCTTTCAGCACTAAATCCTGCAATTCACGATCAAACCCTTTCGAAACTCTGTTCTGAAACTGAATCAATAGATTGATCAACAACTCTGATTCTTCCACCAAATTTGGCGATTCTAAAACCAACCCACGAAGCACTTTCACAAGAGAATCAATAAACTCACGATCAATCCAAGCTTGAATCTCTGATTCAATCGACTCGGCGACTCGAACAATTTGATGAGTTGAGACTCTGCGCCTTAGAAATGACCTTAAACTGTACCCACAAGTCTTATTGAGTGATTCAACGAGGGTTTTAAGGTATGATAGATGTTGCGAAAGCTGAAATAAGCTTGGATCGGAAAGTATGGTGTCTGACTCTGTTTCGAGCTCTAACAGAGCTTTAATGGCGGATGAGTTTGATTCAGTTGGTTGACGACTTGGGTTTGATTGTAAATCATGAGAAGCTTGTTCTAAGAGTTCTAGAACTCTTAATACTTGTTGATTTTCTTCTCTTTCAACTTCCTCCATTGTTTAAAAAATTTGAGCTTTTTTTTTAAAAAAAAATAATAATGGATGAAATGAGGGAGAAATTGATAGTTATAGAAAAGAGGTAGAGAGAAACTTTTCCAAGTAAATGAAAATAAAATTAGGTCTAAAAAAATATACCAACTAGTCAAACCCATTTTTTTTATGAGAAAGAAATTGGGAAAGGTTGGAGGAAATGATGCCTTTTGCTAGGTTATGTGAGAAGGAGTATATCCAATTTTAAGGATACAAAAGTATAGAATTCTTTTTCATTGATCAAAATACTCAACTATTTGATTATTAGTTGTTGGTTGATTGACTTTTTTGTTATATACTTTGGTTTGATTTGTATGCTTGTTAATAAACGAATTTCACTATTAATTAATAAAAATCATAGAAGTTACCGAGTAATACAGTATGAATCAGTTTAAAACTTGTATAATATTTTTGTAAGACCATCTTATCATTATAAGACTGTTTTTGTGAGTCATTGTAAGCATGAGACTCTCTTTCATTATTTTTTTTCTTCCCCTATCCCAATTTACTTAAAAAATAGTCGTGTGTTGGTGAATTTATTTAAAAACTTGTATAATATACGAAGTAATAAAATTTAATTATAGTCAATAATGTATTGAGTCTTCTTATTTGGCGGTGGAATTTAATTTATTTAATGCAAACTTAATACGAAGTTATATTATTATTTTGTATTGATATATTTTCGGTGTTTGATCACCTTGATGGACCTAGAGTTTGCTAATGTGATGATTGAATGTTGGAATGGGTTGGGATTTGGGACCCAATTCTTTTTGTTTGTACCAATTATCAAAATTTACAATAGGACCCAATTCATTGTTGAGAGTTTTTATGTCATTTCAAACCCAAATGATAATCAAAATGCTCCTTTTTGTTAACGTCCTTTATTATTATTGCTTTTAATAAAATCTTTACATATAATAAGAGCCGCATAAGTGTATGACCTTAGTAGCGTTTATCATGTGTTTTAGGTTTTCAGCTAATTATCACTACAATAATTAAGGTCTAATCCTGTCATATGATTCATGTCTTTTCCTATATATTAGCAAATGTCTTACGAGTATTAATTTTATAAACAATATTAGAGCGAAACACTAGAAGCAGTTCAAGTGTGTAAATAAAAAATCATCCTCTAATTTGCAGCTCCACTTGAATTTAAAAAACCGGTCAATTGAGCTAACACAAGGTCGAGTATCCAAGGTAAAGTTTAAAATACTTTATACTCGTAACAAATACATTCATATTACCAATCTACCCTAAATCAATTATTTTCTTCAAAAGAAAGACGTACCATGCACCCCTAAACTAATGTTTTAATAGTTAGGAATGGACAAGTTATTTCTGAAATGTCGTGTTTTTTGTTAAACATATATTTAAAATACTACGAAAGTACAAAGTACTTAATTAAAAGTCCTAATACAATGTCATTTGACCACGTAATTTAACTGTGTTACTTGCAACGAGCATATTCGGATCCTAAGCCATCACTCCATCAGCTTCGTATATCCAATCAATTCATGTTTCATGCTGATTCATATTTTTGTCATTTCAGTAGAGAATTAATGGTTGATAAATTTTCATAAGTGTTCTTGATTTTTTGTATTTTTTTTTTCCATTATTGCCTTTTTCGGTTCATTGCAATTAATGGTTGACACATGTCCCTTTTCTTGTATTTTTTTTTAAGACCACTCTCAATGGTGAGCAAAAAAAATGTTCACCCACTCTCTCTCTCTACCCACTTTCTCTCTCAATAAATCAATTTTGCTTATGGGTAAATTTTTTTCACATTTTCTCTCCCAATGGTGAGCAAAAAAAATGTCCACCCACCACTCTCTCTTTCTTACTTTTTCAATACCCCACCATTACTTTCTCTCTCCTACACAACACTTCTTTATTTATTTATTTCATTTATATTTTAACAATGTTACTCCAAATAAATAAAAACTAGTTTAAATTTGTGTAACTTATTTTTTTTATTTTTGTCTTTTTTATCGTTAAAATTTGTCGTAAAATTAAGTACGTTATATAAAAAATTGTAAAAAATCGCTCATAATTTGTTAAATGTTTTTATTTATTTTAAAAGCGGTACAATACTAGAGAACAATTACATTTGCAACGTCATGCGTAATTAAACTTAGAAAATAAAATAAACACAACAACTAAAAAATAACTCGACTGCGTACGGAAAAGTAGCTACGCCATAGTACTTGGCTTTATTTAAGTCGTCTAAATTCTCCCTAATTACGTGGCCCGTATCGTTGCCAAATATGTTCGACTAAATCACGTTTCAGAGATAGATGAATTTCTCTGTGGGAAGCTTTTCGCTGTAGAAATGCGTTGAAGTCAAAGTTGGTAGGTCGGCCTACGTTGAATTCAAACGGTGGCGTTGTAGATGTTGATGCTGGTGTTGATTCTTGTTGATCTTCTTCGTATAAGGCTCTTAGAACTTCGGCTCGAGTGTAGTTGTGGCGCTCATCTTCAACAATCATATTGTGCATAATGATACATGCTTTCATTATGTCTCGCAGTATGTCCTCATCGTACGCCAGTGACGGTTTTCGTATTATTGCAAATCGAGCTTGCAAAACACCGAATGCTCTTTCAACGTCCTTTCGAGCAGCATCCTGGTGGTCAGCAAACAATTTATCTTTTTGAAGTTGAGGGGTTGTGATACCCTGAACAAAAGTTGCCCACTTCGGATAAATGTCGTCGGCTAAGTAATATGCCATGTTGTATTCATGGCCGTTAACGGTAAAATTTACCGGAGGAGCTCGACCATGCAGAACCTCATCGAACACTGGGGAACGGTATAAGACATTTAGGTCATTACAAGATCCAGGGATCCCAGAGAAGGAATGTCATATCCATAAATCCTGATCTGCAACGGCTTCCAGTATTAGTGTTGCTTTCTTGTTCCTACCGGCGTACTGCGCTTTCCATGCCGTTGGACAGTTCTTCCATTCCCAATGCATGCAATCAATGCTGCCTATCATGCCTGGAAAACCGCGCAGTTCATTTTGATGCAGTATTCTGGCCAATTCATCAGTTGTAGGGTTTCGCATGTACTCGGTTCCGAACTGCTCAATGACACCGGTACAAAAACGTTGAAGAGCAACTCGAGCGGTTGACTCACTGATCCGAACGTATTCATCCATGGCGTCCGCAGCCATGCCGTAGCCTAACATTCCTATCACCGCTGTACATTTTTGCAGAGGTGATAAACCTAACCTTCCAGCTGCATCCCTACGCTGCTGGAATTACACATCACCTTCAACGACCTTGTTCATTATACGTACAAACAAAGGTCGTTGCATACGAAATCTTTTTCTAAATTGGGTGGTGTTGTACACAGGATTATCGGAAAAGTAATCATTAAACAACCTGGCATGTCCAATTTCCCTATCTCTTCTATTCGTACCCCCTCTAGGTTTTTTTGAAGAGTGTTGGGATTGTGTTTGGGGCATGAGGACAGATGGGGGTTGGTATGTGAAGAGTTCATCAACAAGTTGGTCATATTCTTCAGTATTTGAAGAAGATGAGCTTGAACTTGAGCTTGATGATGGTCTAGAATACATCTCGTATTAATATTGTTACTTGATGAAGGGGTGTGGTTGTGGATATGTGCCATGCCTACTATATATAGAAAAAATATCAAATGAATATGTGGTTACAAATCTGAATGACCACACCAAGTACAGGAATCAAATTTTCAACCACGGAATAGGTATACTATGCTAGTTGACAGTGACAAGTCTTGAGTGCAATAATGTCGGTATCAATGACACAAAGGTAAAGCATTCTGATAAAGTGAATATAGGAAAACGTGGCTATACAATGACAAAGATTTATTGTAATTTTGTCGGTATCAATGACACAAGGTTAAAGCATTCTGATAAAGTGAAATCAGAAAACTATGACTACACAATGACAAAGATTTAAAGCAATTATGTTGGTATGAATGGCAACTTAAATCAACTTGTTAAACAACTTGTCATTCAATATTAGAAAATCAGAATACAAGTGTACATCTTACATTGAGATTAACCACACCACTAATACAACTTAAAAATAAAAGACTAAATTGCGCTTAATAAATAAAAGACTACAACCAAACATGCTTAAAGGCCTTGTAATTTACCCAGTAAAAAATTCTTGTACGACTCTTCTTCAGGAGTGAGTGGCGTAGGCGAATTCTTCATAGATTGCACCATATCAAACCAGGTTTTCATCTTATGAATGTCAAGTTCCTCCCTTTTCCTCTGTTCCTTGTCTTTTTCAATTTTTAACCTCTCTTCCTTCAGAATGGCCTCCCTCTCGCAAATTGTAGCGAATTCCTTCATTCGTTCGCTAAGCTCAGACGAACCACTTTCTGTTGCTACTGCTTTCCCTTTACGCTTCGCCTTTGCCTTCTTGACACCCTCCGGTCGCTGTAAACCGCCAGATGAAAAACCATACGTAGGGGTATCATCCTCTACATCATCTCTGGACCTCTTCCCACTTCCAGCACTACCTTCTTCCTCAGCATCACAAGCGGCTTTTCTTTCCTTCAAGGACATTGACCATCTCAGCTTTGGTCTCCACTTTGGATCCTTGTTAAGCATTTCAATTGCATGAGGAAAAGTGAAATTGCGACCTTGGGCGACATGAAAAAGCTTCGCCGCACTTTTCATACGATCAGCTTCATTGTAACCACTCCCTCCCTCCGGAAGTCTACCTGCTTCATCATAGCAAGATATCCATTGCAGTGTGTCCGCTGCCAACCTTCTCCAGTGCGACGTCAGACTCTTAATAGGCCTTGGCAGAATTATATGCGGCTTCTGCGTATGCAAAGTTTGATATGCTGCGTGTACATTGCGCCATAGGCTAGTTGCTTTTTGGCTTGTACTTTTAATAGCATCCTCGCTAATCTGCAAGTACAACCCAATCAGAGCTTCATCTTTCGCAACAGACCAAATACGGGTAGCTCGTGCAGGAACTTGGTTGGGTTCCAACAAGCGAACTGGTGGAGGAGGATATTGCAGCGTCTCTGGTACGCTTTCCTCTTCGCTCTCATCGAAGAGTGTGTTACTACCAAGATCAGTTTCAGGTGTACGATCTTCATTAGCAAGGTTTTGTAGGGGAACCTCAGTGGGTGTCTGATGCAGTGGAGGTGGTTGCGACGACATATTGTCCATTCTTTGCAAGAACAATTGAAACTCGGGATTAGTTAGGAAATCATCACTAAAACCCGAAAATTGTTGACGGAAATTTGGGTTGTTTGGATCCATTAAAAGATTCTGCATCAAAAAACAAAAGATAAATATCGTTACAAACATTTACTCAAAAAACAAATTAAAATGATAACAAATCCAAAAAAATATCAACAACTTTCTTCAATTGCATAATGCAATTACATTACATGCCATACAATATTTATTTTTTCTCCACAAAATAACATATATACCAATTTTAACACATAACTACATGTACATATTAAAAAAAATAATTAACCAATACTTGCAACACTTTAAGAAGTATGAATTTATAATTTTTTTTGAGAAAATATACACAACTTTGTTTAATTACATAATGCAATATAATTTCGTGGCCTATCATATTGATTTTTTTCCAAAAACCAAACATATACTACTTTTATTATGTAACTACATTTATATATAGCAAAAAAAATTAACCAATAATTGCAACACTTTAAATAACTACAAATTTAGTAATTTATGGAGAAAATATACACAACTTTGTTTAATTACATAATGCAATTTAATTTCGTGGCATATAATTTTTTTTTTCCACAAAATCTCATATATATTAATTTTATTACGTAACTACATTTATATATAGCAAAAAAAATTCACCAATAATTGCAACACTTTAATAAGTACAAATTTAGAAATTTATGGATAAAATATACACAACTTTGTTTAATTACATATTGCAATATAATTACATGGCCTACAATTTTTTTTTTTAAAAAAATCACATATATACTACTTATATTATATAACTGATTTTAAAAATTAAATAAAATTTTTTTTACCTCAATATGGCTGAATTGCAACAACAATATTCTTCTACAAATTTAAAATACTTTTAAGAAAATTAAAATTTGGAGGACTTTAAAGTGTTTACGAAATTATATCAAAATGCATGTCTATTTATAGAGAATTTAATTTTATGACCGTTGGTAATTTTTTTTTTTTACAAAATATATTTTTCTGAAAATGCATTATAAATAAATAACCGTTGTAAAACGGCTAGTATTTTCTGATTGGCTGGCTGCCTGCACCCGCCACGTGTCGCGTCTTCATTGCTTCCCCTCACTGCACGCGTCAGCAAACCAGCCTTTTTTTTATTTTTCTGATTCATCAAAACGACGCGTTTTGATAGGCGCGCCTTTGAGGGACCTCATCAAAACGCGTCGTTTTGATGCTTGGAGTCCGTTTTTTTTGTTTGCCAGCCAGCTGTGGGCCCCACTCCACTTACTATTCATCAATAAAAATGCTCAAGTTTTGAGCTTTTTTGGAAATGCTCATGGGCTTTTTTTCCCATTTTAACTTTTGCTCACCATTGTAGCTCATGATCATTTTTTTTACTCACAAAAAATTTCTCATGAGCAAAAAAAACACTCACCATTGCTAGTGCTCTAATAAACTAGAATCCGTGCGATGCACGATTTATGTAAAATCTATTTTTATATTTGTACATTTTAAAAAAAATGGATAAATATATATAAGAATTATACACCTTGTACAAAAATATTTGTAACTTTATAGTTTTAGATTTTTCATCAAAATTATGATATAAAACTTGTTCAACGTCGCCTAATACATATTTCAATGTAGCAGTCCATTTATTAGTGTGTTATTTACAATTGTTTCATTTTTTAGGGATAAATTAATAGGTTGTAGTTGTAATGTAGAAGTTTCTAATATTCAAATTTCAAAATTGTTAAATATGAAAGCTCCAAAAAATAAAAAATAAAAATGACATCATCTTTGTATTTAGGTGGGAAAATTTTTATTATGTGAGTGGCATGTGGACAATGATGACGTCAGCAACGTTTTGTTTTAGTAATAGTTAATAGATTTATCCTTTTTTTTAATATAAGAAATATATGTTTTAAGGCAAATTAGCCAGATACATAAAAAGCAAATCACAAAATTTACAATTAGAAACATAAGATACTGTGTAACACCCCCAGATCTCCCTCTACGGAAATACTTAGTATAATATGTATAATTATACCGTAGAGATAGACTTAGGAGTATTACCACCGCGTGATTACGCAAGGCTACTCAAACTTCTAATTAAAAACCACAATTTCGCAACGGAAACTCAAACTTTTTCTTTATTAATGAAAATAGTAACCAATGTTATGAGTACTCAAAAGAGAAACAAAGACCAACACTCCTTGATCTAGGTGAAGCATATCCCGGGACTCCCATATGCTCAATTATTTACTCCACCTGAAAATAGTCAACACTGCTTACCATTAAGGTAAACAGGGCTAACAAAAACAAATAGGAAATACGAATTAGCAAAATATGCTAAATACGATAAGTCACTACTAGAAAACAGGCCATTTTCGACGGAAAATCCTGTCGGAAACACCCTAAATTCAGTCGGAAAACACTGTTCCGACGGAAATTCCGTCAGAACGTGTTGTCGGAACACCCTTTGTAGGAAAAACGGCTATTTCCGTCGAAACAGTGTTTTTCGACGGAATTTTTTCGTCGGAAGAGGTTTTCCGGTACCGGAAATTCCGTCGGAAATTTCCGACGGAATTCAAATCCGCCGGAAAATTCCGACGAAAATTCCGTCGGAAAATTTAATAGAAAAAAAAAGCCCCACCCACGACCCCCACCACCAGCCCACCCCCTACCCCCACAACCCATATCTCCACCCACCAGCCCACCCCCTACCCCCACAACCCATATCTCCACCCACCAGCCCACCCCCTACCCCCACAACCCATATCTCCACCCACCAGCCCACCCCCACAACCCACATCCCCACCCACAAAAACCCCACAACCCAGATCCCCACCCACGAAACCCCCCTAACCCACAACTACCCACAACCCACCACCACTACAACCCACCACCGAATACCCAGATCTACCCACCCACCTAAACCACATTCCAAAAAAAAAAACAAATTCAAAATCAGAAAAAAATCAAAATCCAAAATCAAAAACAAATTCAAAATAAAAAAAAATCAAAAACACGAAAAATCAGAGGAAAAAAAAACGAATAAAGCCGAAAAAAATCAGAACACGAAAAATCAGGAAAAAAAAAACGAAAAAGCCGAAAAAACAAAACTAAAACACGAAAAATCAGAAAAATCAGAAGAAAAAAAAGGTAAAAAAGCCGAAAAAAATAAGAGAAAGAGAATAAGAGAACTTACCTTGAATTCCATCAAAACCCCTAATTTGGCTTGAATTTGGGTTTTAAATGTCAAATTCGACCATGAAAACTCTAGATCTAGGTTTTTCATGGTCGAATTTGACATGAAAAACCTTATTTTGTTCTTTGAAAAACCATTAGAAGGCGGCGGTGGTTCGTGGTTGCGCCGCGGC